ACAGCAGTCTGGTTAGTGTGATTTCCTCTGCGTAAATGTGGTAGGGGGAAGTTAGCCACCTGATGCTCACTCCCTTCTCTCTCTCAGGTATCTTTCATACCTGAAATGATTGGAACGGATGAAGCAAGATGCTAGTAATTCTTTTTAAATTGAGTGTTTGTTTTGGAGGGCTTTTAAAGGGGGAGAAAAAAAAGGGAAAAAAGGAAAAAAAAGGAAAAAAAAAAAAGGAAAGAAGAAAGAAAAAAAAGAAAAAAAAAGAGAGGAGGCAGAAAGACAGTGGCAAAAAAAAAAAATCCTTAATTAAAGTGCAGGGAACTGACAGCAAAATGAGATAAACCCTACCTTGCAGCTTCTATAGGAAATTGCATATCCCAGCAATCCTGATCAAGACTTCAAATCATTTAGGAAATTAAGGGGGACTGGTTCTTCAGAAGAGTTCAGTACCAGCAACTCCCACTTAATTTGGTCACTTCATTACAGTGCTTCTCCAGGAGATAAGACCTAGCCAAAAAACAGCCTTTGAGAAAAAGCAGATCTTTTCTGCAGGATTGGAGTCTTATCTCCATCAGCAGCCCCTGCTGGGATGGCTCTAGCCAAGTCCCCGTAGAGCATCCCAGGTCCCTCAGCATGATGGAGAGGCTCCCTGAGAACACGATGGGTCAGCAAAGAGCTACCACCTTCTACCAGAAGACACACAGCCAGGTATGACCCCCCCCGCCATCCAGTGTTCACGTCGTGGGGCAACACAGCCACCAGAGTCAGCCCACATCAGAGGTTGGGTGATGCCCTTGACTCCGTGAATGAGGTACCTTGGAGACTGCAGATGCAGAGGACATTGACTTGTGCAGGACAATATGCGCAGGTGGTACTTAGCACACTGCCTAATGACAGAGTGCCCTTCCCAAGACCATGCCTAACAACAGCAGGGATCCGTTTCCTCAGAGGTGACTCCTTGCAGGCTCTCTGTGGGCCGGGGCAGACATTTTCTCTCCTTGCGTAAGAAAGGCCTCATCACTGCCACCTTGCTTGAGCAGAGTCTCACACACCTTGCCACAAGGTGACAAGAGGAAGACACAGTGGCCAGCACTGAAGTGAAACAAGCGTGCATGGCCAAAATTAGGCTCTTTCCAAGCCAATCTCCTCCTCTTCTCATTCCAGACAATCTCACAAAGCACAGCTTTGAAGAAGGCTATGGTCACATAATGCAAACCCAGAGTATCATCAGTGAAGATGGTATCACTGCACCAGATTAAAGCTGGTGGGAGCACAGGAGGAAGGAACCAGACCACAGATAAACTGCTCCTACACTGTAGTCATAAGGTTCCTGACATTGCCCCAGACTGATTTCGTTTTCTTTCCAAGCCGGGAGACCCTAGCCATGGCCTCTCTATCTATAGGAATAAAAGAACAACGGTCTGGTCGTGATTCTCTTAGGCTAAGAAGCCACAGGTTGGACTTAGTTGTTTTAACCATTTCTGATGTGGTCAGTGCTCTCTCACTCATGGTGGTGCTGCATGTCTCCTCCAGCTTCCCTCACCAGCAGCAGCAGCATCTGTGGCAGCTAATCCAGGATGTCAGCTACACTCTGAGGGGACGAGCACTGCAGCTGGGTCCCTTTGTCTCTCTCAGTCCCAGTAAACCTGTCACTCGTCCCCACCTGTAAATGCTGATAACTGTGTGATTCACCATCAGTCTCAGGAGCAAGCACTGAGCCTATCCACAGCAGAGTACTGCTGCACTAACTAGAACATGGGCAGCCACAACTCTTGGTTTTAGCACTCCTTCAAGGGCTTCAACTCACCAGGACAAAGGGACCTTTACTACAGGAAAGTATAAGATCAAAGCTGAAATTCAGGATCACCTTGCCTGATCACAGCTTGATATAATATAAAATTATTTGTGTGCTTGGAGTGTGACAGCTCAGAGTCAAAGGATGAGAGTTTCAAAAAGTTTTCTTGCCTTTGGAAAATTTCACTTTCAATAACCTTAATCTGCCTGGATTTAACAGACCTGACTCACCTTCTACAGCAGCCAGAGCCACAGAGAGAGATGCTTCTGATTTACACCGGAGAAGAGAATCACAGCTTGGGATGCTGGTTCTCATTTACAAGGAATTTGCCCCAGTTTGAAGGTATACAGGAACTCTGCAGTTAAGTATAAACTACCACTCTCAGGTCAGCATGCACTGACAATACATAACTGGAAATCAGGCTACTGTCTCCACATCTAGTCTTTACTAGCAGCTGATGGCAGATTAATGGGATGTGTGACAGGCGGTCGAACTGGAGCTAAGATGGAATAAAAGGGAAGGTACATATATCTGCCTGCCTGGCAAAGTACTGAATATATGAATACTGCAAGCAGATCCCATGGGGAGAACCACGCTTTTAATCACGGTTTGGTATATTTGCCTTTATGGGTCCCAACTTTAAAAGCAACCTCAGATCTGACAAAAGGAACAAGGAAGAGGAAAAAGAGATGGATCTTTGTGCAGATGGGTGTACAAAAGTGAAACTCTTTTCAGTGTTAATGAACAGACAGAAAGACACAAGGTGAGCAAGATCATATTAGCATTTCTCATTTCCATCTCTAGCCAGAGTAAAATCTCTGTTCTCAAAGCACTATCAGTGACACACAGAGAATCACGTCCCAAAGGCCTTATGGTGTTTACCAAAGCATCATTATTGTTGGGAAAAAACTTAATAAAACAGAGATGGCTCCCTGATGGGAGTGGAAAGGAGCAATCAGATCTCATGTCGGAAGTTTTCTGAGGCTGATCACACAGAAGACAGAAGTGTCCCTCCTCACACGCTGATGCTATTTTCCTATCCAGACAAAACAAAAGCTCAGGGCCATACTCTGTGTTCAGTAGCACTAAGGGTAATGGGGTTGGCTGAAGGCTACTTCTGATTTCTGCCTGTCTGCTGACCGTCCTGGGTAGCCCAAGCAGTATTTGCACCCCTGACACTGTCAATTGGGTCCACGGTAAATGCTGCAGAGAGCTTCCCAAGCCCCGGGCGAATGATACCTGCAAAGATGTAAGCACTTGCTAACATCTCCCCTCCGTCGTCTTCCCCCTCCAGCAGCACTCAGCTTTGCTTGGGGGCTTGGCACAGTCAGAGAGCTTCATAGAGGGGTGCAGCAGAGCCACGAGGGGAATGCAGAAAGCCTGGTGAGGCAGAAAAGCCCACTAGCTTCCCCAGGGGTCTGCACTGTTCACCAGTGGGTGCTCAGGACCTCGCTCCCACGGGGGGACACTGCCACCCTGTGGAAACAGGCCTTCTGCTCCCGGCGGCTGGGGAGGATGCGGGGAGATGGCTCGCAGCCTCACCAACACGCATTAGTTACACTGCTAATGCACCGGCAAGCCGTACACGCTTTGGCGCTGTGCTGCAGGAGGGCTCCGTGAATTTAATTTATTGGGACTAATGCAAATTTAATTTCTGCTAAGTCTTTGTAATCACCTATGTAGTGGCAGGGTGGCTGCTTGCGGGCACAGCAATGTAGCTACAGAAACACAGTTACTGCTACTCACTCCTCCACCGGTAAATTAAAACAACAAGGGGCAGACCATCAGCAAATCTACAGACAAGCCAGATGAGAGACCGAGGCTGGGTGCCACCTCTGTCCCCAAGACATCAGGGCAGCGCACAGAAAAGGGCAGAAAGCCTCAAACGAGGCAGGACACCAACACCAGGTTTCTTCTATCCTACTACAACCAAAAAATCCTGAGCCCCAGTCCTTGCTTTGGGTGGGCTGGCAAAGAGCCAGGCAGCCTTAGTATTAGCAGGTCAGCACTAAACACCAAGATACAGCCCAACTGCATAATTCTGTCAGCAGGAAAATAAACAGCAGGTGAGCACCAGTGGAATTCTCTCATCAGTACACTCAGAAGGTTATTTAAACACAGTCTGGAGACCTATTTATTCAATAAGGGCTGTAATTAGCCTGCAAATTAATCTCAACACATCTCTCTATGGCAGAGCAAGAAATGAGATTCCTTGGGAAAAAAAAAAATTTAAGTGTTGCTGCTGACAGATGAATACTCTGTATCCAGATTTAAAAAATAAAGACATTAAATCTAAAAACAAGGGGGTTGAGTTTATATTCCTAAGTCCTTAGGAAAAACTGAGGCAGGAGGGCCCAGCAAAAAGCTCCCCGAAGAGGCTGGAGAAACTGAAGAAACTACCAATACTAGAAAACCAAGTCTGCTACCTGTAACTATGCAGGTACATCCACATTTCACAATGGACCTGACACAAAACCCACAGAAGAGACAGCAATTCTTTTGATTTACTTCGGTAGGCTTTGGGTCAGCTCTCAGATGCAGCAACCTCTCATTTTTATTTCCATCGCCCAAAAAAAAAATTATGAACTCTAGTGTATGCGCTCCTCTCTTCATTCAAACAGACTGCTGTTTCATGCCAGCAACCAGACAAAAGAGAAATGAAACATTCTCATTATTATTGACAATGAAACAAGATTTGTCCTG